TATATGTTTTTAATTAAACTAAATCCCAAAGCAATCAAAACTAATTTCCATTGATTTATATATTTATTTGTCCAAAATATTGTCCAAAATATCCAGAATATTATCAATTGTTCCCATAAAACTATTCCAACGATTGATATTGAATGAACAATGTGTCCAAATGGTTAAAATGCCAAACAAAATACCATGATAACTAAATGACAGTGATTATCCCCAAAACATACCTAAACTAAACCCAACAATTTTATGTCTCCCATCCCTATGTGTCGGATAATATGTGATCCGATAGATACACAATACTAGCGGCAGCGGCCGTTCCCAAGGGTTTCGTTGACGCCAAAGCGGTGGCCGAAAAGGTTATTGAATTCATTCAATTGGATGAAAATGATTTTCGATTCGGTTCTACAAAGGCTAGTACTATATGTCCTCAACCATCGGTTTATTTGTCATTTAGTAATAACTTAGTTTAGACTAGAATTTGTTTTTTGAACCTAATTTTACGTACAAACACAGTGTTGCCTGAGTTTCTATGTTTAGAAATTAATTTTTAGATTTAATTTTAGAGTTTATTTAATCTTTTACGGCGTTTTGTGTAACAAACCAACTGTTTAGATGGTTTTGATTGCTAAAAGTCAAACCATAAAACGTTAGAAATGTTGTCAACGAGTTTTTTGTGTTGCGTTCAAACCATAACTGAATCACAAAACTTTCCAACCGTTTCCACCCAAAAATACACACGGCTTTAAAACCCATAGAATTTACTGATTTTAATCAATCAGTTAAAAACACTGTATAACTAAAATCCCCAACTAATTCAGTAGTCGTCATAAAGTATCCAAATATTAGACATGAAAATAATTTCATGTGAACTAACATTGATTTGCGCACTAATGTCTTCAGATACACAATCCTGGCCCCGACTATCCTTCCCAAAGGATTTGTTGACGCAAAAGTAGCCACAGAAAAGTTAGTCAAAGCCACTAACATAGACGAGGGGGAGTACCGACTTGGAAATACCAAGGTATCTCNTAGTCAAAGCCACTAACATAGACGAGGGGGAGTACCGACTTGGAAATACCAAGGTATCTCAATTTGTCAAATTGTCAGATTAACTCGTCGTAAAAACGCATCGCTTTTATGCTTTTTTCATTTCATTTCATTATTCTGTGATTCGCTTTTTATAAATTTTGAAGCGCTTTCTTCGACTGAATTTCATTTTTTATGCTAAATCTGAGGAATTTTTTTCTTTTTTTATTTAATTAGATTTACATTTAATACTATTAGTTAACCAATAGATTAAATATTTAATTATTTCTCAGATTTTATCTCAATGTATGAATAAATACAATGACATAAATGTAAATGAAAATTAGGTCTTGCGATATGACTATATTTTTAGGTACACTTACTTTAAGTGTACATTTAATTTACTTACATTACAAATAATTTCATTTAAATGTTAAATGTTTGCTTAAATTCTTGTAATCCTTTTAATAAAACGCTTTATTTATCCTTATTTTAGCAAAATTAGCAAAAAACTGATTTATTAACACTTAATGTAAGCAAAAAATTGTATAACAAATAACTGCAATTCATGTCGTTTTGCTTTCAATGAATGCGATTGTAAGTCAATATTGAGATAATCCTTTGATTATGCAATGAAAAGGTAGGTTTTAATATCAATGTTATTCTATGTGTTCCCAAAAACCCACTTTGTGTTACCACTTCTTATCGTACCGTTTTGTGCATCTGTTAATTCACCGCATGTTAATTACCCGTCATTTCCAATGAAAACATTAATTTAAAACTGAGTGCCGATCGCGACAAACAGATCTTCTTCCGCGCGGGAGTGTTGGGACGTCTGGAGGAGATGAGAGACGAGCGGTTGGGTAAGATCCTGACATGGCTTCAGGGATGGATCCGCTGGTATCAGGTGAAGAAGAGCTTCAAGAAGCTTCAGGAACAGCGAATCGCTCTTCTCGTGATCCAACGAAATTTGCGCAAATTCTTGACTTTGAGGAACTGGTTGTGGTGGAAGTTGTACTCCAAAGTGAAGCCACTGTTGAATGTGGCGCGAGTTGAGGACGAACTCAAAGCACTGGAAGATAAGCTGA